CTAATGTTTTAATCGTATAGATTAGTGAACATTTTCCTAATTGAGTTCTGGCATTTTTATAAGCATTTATCAAATACGGCATTAAATGTTGTTGATATTCATTGAAAAAAAGATTTGAAAAATATACTTTATCATATTGATATGAATTTTTTAATCGCAACATGAAAGAAAAAAAAAACCGATCAAACATAAAACTTATGCGCGGTTTATTTTGAATATTTAGATATTTGAATTAATAATTAATCGAATGTTTGAACATATGCCAAATGCTCGTATTGTTGATACAGTTTTACCAATAGCTCAAAATTTATTTCGTGCACATGGTTCGAATAAAATTCTAATTATTCTAAACGTAAACGATTCTTTTTTGTTTTTTATTCTAGCTGCACCAATAACATTTTTATATCATACTTTATTTGTATATGAAAAAAAATTACGAGAAAAATCAAATTTTCGTCAATCACTTATTATTGGAATGATTGGTAAAGAAAAAGGAAAAAGATAAAAATTTTTAATATAAATTTCTTTAATTTAAGGCAATATTTATCACATGCGTAAAATGGAATGGTGTTTTTCAAATAATTTTACATCTTATATAGAAAATTATCTTCGTCTTGATGGAGAAAAACGACAATTACCATCGCCTGTATTCAATTCACGTTATGCTATTGATTTATTGCATAAACTTGTTGATGATATCCTTTTTTTCTTGATTTTTGAATCTTTTTTTTTTTTTCTTTCCGAAAAGATTATTTAGATTTATTTTATTTTCCTTAACTCCAGTGTACCAATTTATGAGAAAAATTCTTATGAATACAATATTGATTGGCGTTATAATGAATTTGCAAATCCATCGTTACAATTGATACATTGTTTAGCTATTGAAATATTTTTTTATACAGGACAAGAAAATTTTAATCCATGGAAATTATTCGCTGAACCATTTATAACTGCGTAAGTTAATTTAGGAATAATATGAGTAGTCAAAAGAAGTTTCACTAATTGATAAAAATGTACATAAACTTAAGTTAATAAATACAGTTTCTCTTGCCTGTATTGTATGACGAATAATATTTTCGAATCCGTTGTAGTGGTGAGACGCGGAGAAGTCCTTTTCTACAGACGATCTCAACACAGATTTCCTCTGGTCGATAGCTGCACTCGTGAAATTAATTCTCGTGTAGATACACTACTCAACGATCACTTTGTGAATCAGGTAGATTAAAACGACTTGACAAGAAATTTTTATTGATAATAAAGACAGTATTGAGTTCCCAAATAATGAATTACACGAACCGAAATATATTTCTAATGCTGAAATATCCATGTTTCAAAGAAAAATCTACGTTTTTCTTTGGGCTCTCAAGTCTAAATCGATCATCGTAATTAATTCTTAACGTACTCTATTTATGAAAAAAATTTGCGACTATATGATTCCAGTTTACATACTTATCATCTCATAGTGGGAACTTTTTGAAATCTAGCTTTTAGAAATGTTTCTATTTATCAGAAGAAATTGTTGAAATAGAAGAGAAGTATTTGTCATACATAGAACATAATCAAAGCGTCAAGAAAAAAGACGTTACATCAAAAAACACAAATTTTAATAAATTTATGACTATTTTAGAGATGCTCTAATTCCTCGAGCAAATTTCTTAAAATATCTCAATGCTATGGGTCTTCTATTTTCGGCTTTACCTGTATGTATCCAATAATAAATTATCTCTGATATGAAAACAAAAAAAAAGAAACTTGATTTTTCTAGGAATATTATTGGTCTCAATTATTCGAACGAATGTATCAAATATTTGAACATCCACTTTTATTACGTTGTTCACCAACTGATATAATGGATTTACTTAATTTTCGTGAACGATTTTGTACACATACAGAAAATATGGTCTGTTGTTTTGTAGCTGTCGTTCATTCAATATGGCTTCATGGTAGTATTAGTCATTTACAACCATTTCTTCAGTAAGTTATTTTTTATTTTGAAAAACTAAAAAGTTTTATTATCATATTTTTCTTTGATTTAAAAATCTTAGTTTGGTTCAAACACAACTTTTACAAACAATAAAAACTGAAAATCAATTACTATTAGCATTTCAATTAATTGGACCTTTTCTTCAACGTATACAAACTGAATCAACAAAATTATTACTTGAAGTAAGCACTCGAGCCAATGAAATTCGAATTCAGTTAATCAAATTTTTTCGAATCTGATCAAGCCGTATTTTGATACTCTTAATGAAATTTTCTAATCGGAATTGAATAATTGTCCGAAAGATATGAGATACTTTTTTTCTGATTTTTTTGTATTCAATGACTAGCATATTATGTACATTCCTTAGACCACTAAAGTCCTTCAGGACGAATTGAGTAGGATCTATTAAGGGCAAAAACAAAATATCAAATAATCGAGAAAAATATCTTCATGAATTCTTTTGTATTTTTTAGTTTGTTATTGTGCCTTATGATCTCATTGCACGTGTTGATCATCATCAACAATCATTTATGAATGTTGATACAATAGCGAATTTTCTTTATCATATTAAATATATTGTTGTTGGTGATGCAATACGTGATCGTATTGAAACAGTTGTTAATAATCTTCATTGTGAAAAGCTTCGTTCACGGCTTCATTTTCTTTGTGCCAAAACAGACGTTTCATCATCGATACATTCTCAAGGACCTTCAGCAGCTGCAACACCAGCATCAGTAACAACAGTTGATACTTCGAATGCAAATATACCTAATCATGGACAAATTAAATCAGTAACATCTACAATGCAAATGCAATACCCAACAGCATCAATGCAAGCACAACCATATGGTGCACCATCACAAAATATTCAACAAAATTTTCAATTAACAACTAATATGACTAATGCTATGGGATCGGATGGAACTCAACAACAACGTTAGAGAAAATCTTTAGAAAAAAAATCAAGAAATTTTTTTTATTCATGCTTATTATATATTGGAATTGTTCGAAACCATAATTATTTTTTTTCACACATAATTTTTTTTTTGTTCGATACAAAAAGCACATGTATCATAAAATGATATTTAAAACATCAAAATTTTCATTATTTAATAAAGAATATGTATATGTATACATATGTATAGAAGAAATTTAAATTTCTTAATTAAATATAACTATTATATACGTAACAAGTTCCATTTTATTATTCAAGTATATAATTCATACAATAAAAATGGATATAAAGTGTCTTTTTTTAAAATTTCAAATGAAATCTTTGACATCAAAGTAAAATTCAAATGCTTCGATCTAAAGAACTAACACTATCTTCCTAATCGAACTCTAATGACCTTCGTATTCAAACCTATTAAAGTTTCGAATTATAAATATATCAAAATTTTCCTCTCACCTTGATAGATATAGTGAAATGTTTTAGGAGCATCCACAATGAACTTTCAGGAAAAATGAAGAAGTTAGTCAAAATTGGATATTTCCAGGGAGGAAAGAGATTTAAAAAACTCAATTTTTACCTAGGCGTCTTTTACGGATGATCTTGTATTAATAGTAAGCAAATCATCAGATACAATCCATAATAAGCTAAGATAGGATCAGGATTTCAATTCTCAGATGATTATCGCTATTGATAAAAGCCTTAGCAATGTTTTTCTTATGGTATATTACTATATAATCATTATCATATTGTATAAACAACCGAAAAAAATATTCATTATGTATCGTTTGTTTTATAGAAGCGTACAAATAATGATATTAAAATACTTGTACGTAATTAAAATGAGACAAGGTTCAAGAATATTTGCAATATTTCTATTAGAAAAATTTAATAATAATAATCCAATATATTTTTCTTAATCTAATTTACAACATATTCATAATCATAAAAATAGATATAATTTTCCTTCAACTAATAAAAAATTGTTATTTCCCATGTTCAAATATAAAATTTTTGTTTTCCTTTTCTTTTATTTTATTTTTGTTTTTTTAATAATCAATCGAATTTTCTTTTTTAAGCTTAATCATAATTTAGAAACAAAAAAAGACAAATAACAATACTTGTTAAGGACATCAGACATCTTCAATCAAAATAAGAAACATGTACTCTTGAGAATACACACATGGTGTGTATCATAAGAAATAATCAATAATTGATCAATTCCTTTTTGCTATGATATATCCTCCAACTGACGAATGTCAAGAGCCAATATTATCATATCCTATACAGATGGATATCTTGAATAACAATGTGTGACATTTTAGAGAATATGGATATTTTTATTATAGAACGGAGACAAAAAAAAATGCAAACTGAATATACATAAGAACGAACATAAGAAAAAGAAATTTTTCTTATCCAATAATGTATCTTTTTTTTCTTTCCTCTTACTGTTATTTTAATCAAAAAACTATTCGCTTTAGTTGACATTAAACAAGCTAAACATACTATAATAAGGCATCTAGGAAATGTGCAATGAGAATGACTTTGATGAGTATTTCCGCATGATACAATCTATTCATATCTTAATGTAGTTCTTGTCTCTTTTCCGTTGGGGAATTTTTTTTAGTCGAGCTCTCATTCGTCGGAGAAAAACGAGTATCAATTAATTATATACCTTAGACCGACTATGTTCGTAACTAGAGTTAAGAGCATCAAGCCGGAAACGAAAGAGAGGGAAATATAGACAACACATATAAACATAAAACGATAGATGGAATTTAATACATCAAGATGTTTATGTGTTTGTCTAAGTGATGATAAACAGACGTCATTTTTTTTTCTCTCGTTTTCTTTTTCTCAGTTTTTCTTTCTCTCTTCTTAATAATTTACTCTTATACATCAGATCAACAAGTCAAACGGTGATCTGACTTGTTAACATGACACGTTACAAACGACATAAATAATTGACACGACAATCAATCTACTTAAACAAGACAACAAAAATTTACTTGATACTCACGTATAAAAGATTAACTGATTAATTTATATATGAACAACGGTAATATGAATAGCGTTCCATTACCATCAATACCATCTGGTGAACACGACTGTCTTATGACTGAAGTACAAATCCGATCAACTTCAGCATCATCAAAAAAACATAAGCATTCAACAAATTGGCTTAAAGCTCATTTATGTCAAAATAAATTCACATTTGGATTATGTCTTTCACTTTTACTTGCTATTGCCATTGTTATTTCTTTACTATTTTTATATGTTTTACATATACGCATACGATCAGAGAGTATGTAAAAATAAAATCATTTTCAATTAGGGCATATAAATATGTTTTTTACTTAAAGGAGAATTATGTCTTACACCTGAATGTATCTCATTAGCAGCTGATACATATAATGCAATGGATATTACAGTTGATCCATGTGAGGTATGTATAATCTTTCTAAAGAAAAAAGTTTTGGATTCTATTATTGTAATTACAGGATTTCTATCAATTCGCTTGTGGTAATTGGGATAAAACTCATCCAATACCTGAAGGTCGTAATGTTCGTTCTTCATTTGAATCATTTGTCAATGATGTTGTTGACCTTTATCGCGGTATTTAATACAATAAAATTCTGATTGTTTTAGTATTTGAATTCTAATAAAATTTTATTTTTTAATTTTATAGAATTACTTCGTAAACCTGTTCTTGATACTGAACCAGATGCTGTAAGAAAACTTAAAATATTTTATCAAGCCTGTGTTGGTCCAGGTAAAGATTTCTTTCATTAAAAACATTAGAATATCTCATTTTTCTCTTGTTTTATTATTTATCTTCAAGAACGAGATTCACCAACAATTGAAAACGCAACATATCATTTACTTATTCAACATTTAGAACGTTTTGGTGGATTTCCTCCTCTATATGGTGAACGATGGCAATCAAAATTATCTCTTGAACGATTACTTGCACAACTTCATTTAGAATTTAATACTGAGCCTTTATTTGAACTTAAAGTAGCAGCTGATGATATGAATAATACTCAACATATTATTTTGGTAATACCAAAGAAAAATCTAAATAACTTTTCAAAATGATTGAAAAAAAAATATTTCTTTTTCTTTTCAAGCTTAATCATCCATCATTATTTTTACAAGCATCAGCAGCATATGAATCAGAGGAAGAAATTGATGCTTACTTAAAATTTATGGTTAGTGTAGCAACTAGTTTGGGTGTTGAACGTACACGAGCACCACATGACATGCAACGAATACTCAGTTTGGAAAAAGCACTCGCCAACGTAGGTGAGAGTTTTTATTTTCTGTTCATCACTTTCGTATGAGATTCAAAATTATCTTTCACTAAAAAATGCCTATATTTGTTTTGTTTAATCCTTTTCGGATAGAACTCTTTTGTGCGAAGTAAAATAACAAAATATGGTATTTGCTAAAATGAATTAATTTTCATTTCAAATCAGTGCTATTGATTTTTACAAGGCTAGCATGATCAGAGATTTCGTTTGTTTTTAACCAAGGGGGGAAGAATTTTTTTTCCCAAAGAGAATCTACTGGGAGAAAACGAAAATATTTTTCCAAAGAGAAAATCCGCTGAAGAAAAACGATAAATATTGCCAGGGAGACTTTCTTCCAAAATTTTAGGAGGAGGAAATTCCCTCCCGTCCCCCTCCCCTAATCGTATGGTCTGAGCATGATGCATATGTATATCGCTTGTAATGAATCATAGAGCAATGCCGAGAAGAAGAAAGAAGAATAACCTTGTCTTGGAGCTACCTTACGGTGAGGAATGTTGCCTAGTGATAGAGTCAATAATCTGATATCTTCCCTACAAGTATGACTAGCTATGTTTCTGGACAGTAGGTTAGTCTGACGTATATTTCTTGTGCTCAATTCTTGAGCTCCCTATTCATCCTAACGTACCGCATATTTGCTAGAAGAGTCAATGTATGTCAGAACGTAGTCAGCATGCTATCAGGCGCATAATCCGCAACAAATAACCACTAGTGACTTGTTCAGAACCATTCTATGTCTGATGGCACTACGACCTGCACGCAATATCTTATGGAGACCTGTCGAACAATGTACTCACTCATTTATGACGGTTTGAGCCATTTGAGTTAGATCAATGATCAATAGCAAGTATCAATAGAGTTGATTGTTTCGAAACGGAAAAATGCCTTTATGTGTCTCATATTCAAAAAGAGTTATTAGTTAAATCTATTATACGTACATAAATTATGAAGTGAAATGTATTTTGACGAAACAGAAAAACATTGAAAAATCAATTAATTCATAATCATAAACACTAATAATTTAGCAATCATTTATTGATTGAAACATTTAAAAATGACTTATTGAAAATTTTCTCAAGTTATTTTCAATTTTAGATTCGTGATGATCAACCATCAAATACTGTAATGGATTTCTATAAAAAAATAAGTGTTGGAGAATTGCAAACTATGGTACCATCAATCAATTGGACCATATATTTTCATCTTGTTTTCAATGAATTTATCCCATTAGATGAGCCAATTGTTGTACTTTATGCTGATCAATATATAGGAGATCTTGAACGACTTATTCGTCAATTTGATACACGGTAATGAAACGAATCTATTTTAGTTGTGTTTTCTATATAGAAAAAAAAGTTTTTTTATTATACGAATAGTACTATAACAAGTTATTGTTTGTGGCGTGTTATCGCTAGTCTTGTACCTGATTTGAGTAAGAGTTTTCGTGAAGCTCATTATGAACTTGTACGTCTTACTCAGGTAAAATTTTGCTATATAGAAATTTGTTTGATTATATAACTTTTAAGAAAAACATATTACAGGGAGCTGCTCCTCATGGTATCGGTTCACATTGTTTATTAAATCGAGCTGATGAAACATTTGCTCAACCAATGACATATCTCTATTTAAAATCTCAATCAGATGATAGCATTCGTGAAGAAGTATAAGCTTTTTTTTTGTTTTTTGTTTTCTAGAATATTTTTATCTCTTAAATAATTATTTTTCTATAATAGTTACAAGAGCTTATACAAAATATTCGAAGTACATTTTATGAAACAATTAAACGTAATACTTGGATGACAAATGATACAAAAAAAGTAGCACTTGCTAAAGTATGTCAAGAGTAAAAGAATGCATTATTTAATTTGAAGAACGTTGTTTTTTTTTATTTTTAGGCACAACTAATGAGTGAATTCATAGCTTATCCACTTGAAACACTTAATGAAACTTATTTAAATTTAAGTCATGCTCATGTAAGTTTTTATCAAAGAAAAAGAAAAAAAGTTGATTGCTCTTGTTTTCATATTATTTAGTTAAATATTTCATTTGATAATCATTTAAATAATGTTATTAATTTATTGGGAAATGAAGTAAGAAAAAATATTGCTCTCTTTCGAAAACCTGTCGATAAGAAACAGTAAATAAACAAATTATGCCTATGTTTGCAAATTTACAATTCTTTTTTTTTTTGTATCCATAGATGGATGACAAGTTCAGCTCAAGTAAATGCACTTTATGATAGTAATCGTAATGCTATTATCATACCCGTTGGCATGACACGACCATTTCTTTATAATTCAAAATTTCCACAGTAAGTCTTTAAAAAAAGAAACAACTTTTTTTTTTGTATTCTTGATATACAACAATCTATTTTGTTTTAGTTTTGTTATTTATGGTCGTATTGGTATGGTTATAGCACATGAGATAATACATGGTTTTGATACAAATGGACGTTATTTTGATGAACATGGAAATTTATTTCAATGGTGGAATAACGAAACAGATGCTACATATCGAGAAACGGAACGTTGTATTGTTGAGCAATATTCAAATTATACATATGAACAAGTTAATATGACTTTAAATGGAAATACAACACGCTCAGAAAATATAGCTGACATAGCTGGAACGGATTTAGCATTTCTTGCTTATAAACAATGGTTAAAAGTACATGGTGATGAACGTCGATTACCATTACTTGATAAATATACATCAGAACAAATGTTTTTTATAGCTTTTAGTCAAGTATCAGAATTTCTTTTCTTTTTTTCTTTTTAATCTTAAAACAAGTTTTTATGATATTTATATAGATATGGTGTGGAAATTATTTAAATGAACGTTTACGAAAAGATATACGTGACATGATTCATACACCATTTCGATATCGGTAATTAGATTTTTGCTTTTAATTGACATGATGAAAAAATAGAAAAACACATAAGAAGTTTTTTTTTTTCTTTAGAATGATTGGTTCATTACATTCAAGTCATCATTTTAGTCAAACATTTCAATGTAATCCAAATGCAAAAATGAATCGGCAAATAAAATGTACTGTTTTTTGAATAAATACATATATATATATACATAAAATAGATCTGACTTCTTTTTGTGTTTGTGTATGTGTCCGGTGATGAATATTTGTCGCTTTGTCTTTGTTGTATGGATGCTTTCTTCTATATTTGTAGTCGTCAATTTGTCTGTTTTTCTTTTTCGTTTTCTTCAATCATAATCAAATCTTTAATCAATAACAAATGTTAATATTTCTTGCATATTTGTAGGAAGTTGATTGCTGTTTGTTTACATTATTTGCACTTGAAATGCAAATATATTTGTATATATATATATATATAATTAAAGTAGACAGATCGATTTTAGTAATACATGTCTTTTAGTTAAGACATGAAAAATGAAATTCTTATCAACTAATTAGAAAACTATATTGTTTCAAATTTTAATCATTTATCTTTACTGAAATACTAGTATAAAGTACTTACTGAATGAACTCATAAGAAACATTTATATTTTTTTTAACCGTAGATTGCATATAGACATTATTCTTTTGTGGATCATGATCTAAAATGAGTATTGAAGTATAGAAATGAAAACTTGAATCGCCCTCCTCAACAGACAGTGTCAGACTCTATTGATATGCGATCAATAACAGCTTGTTCTTGTATATGAATTACTTCCTTGTTGCATTTCTGAAGGACTAAGTAAAAGAATGATGAAGAAATATGTCCCAAAATAGATCGAATAAAGTAATCTCCCTGTAATTAGCAACAATAACTACATCGTGTTAACATGTTAATCCCACAAGGATTTCGCTAAAAGCTTTTTTTTGCGTTCTTTTTATTCGAATGTATTTGTTCGATTTCACTTAAAATGCTTGTTTTTTCATTAATTCTGCATATACAGTTCGATTTGAAGATATCTTTTGATTGAATGCAGATATCAGAGACTGGAATTTCGGCTCAAGTTCAAGTTTACTTCATTAACCTATACAATGTGTTGATTTTCATGAATAGTTAGTACATTGAGTAGTGCTCAGCACGACGCATTAAGATCGAATTACAATTCCAAGGTTCTGCCCATGAAGATGACGTGATGCATAGCAAAAGGACCTTGTACTAAGTAGTATCAGTGTAGATCACAGTATGATTGTAGATTTCTGCTGAGCTCTATGCAATTCCCCAACTATTATTATAAATATGGCTTTTTTTTAAAGATTCATATAAAGGCACGGCAATCGAGAATTCGTCTAACACCGCAGACATTACCTCCAGAAATTGAATCGTAACGAACAATTTTTATAAATTTCAATAAATAAAATATCATAATATTTCATAAGTATTTTATCTTACTATAACAAATTACTACATTCATGATATTATATCAAGTTTGGTTTATCTGAAGAATCCGTCATAACGATAAGATGATTGATAATTGTAAATATACGAAGAATTGTTAATATCACAGTTTTCTAGTGATTTGCTATCTTAAATAGTTATCATTTGGTTGTATGAAGGTAGTTAAAAAATAACTTGATGAGAAACTTATGCACACCTATGACTTAATGAGATAAAAAAAATAATCAAGTAGATGTCAAACTTCAGTATTGCAGTAACAAACTAATGAATTATATTGGTTTCTAAAAGTAAATATGTTCGTTCATGTTTGTAATCTGAGAAGTAGAATAATATTGATTAGACCAAAGCTTAAAGTATTTATTGAATATTAATATTTTTTCTTTTACAGTACCATGTTTAGTCTTTCTATACATCTAATATATATAAAATTCTATGGAATTTTTCTTTTTCATTTGATTAATTTATTTTGCAAGCTGTTGCAATTGATATGACAAAAAAAAGTAATGCATTAATGTCATACTACGGCAACTTCTCTATATCGAGCATAAAAACCAACTTCTTATTTTCATCAATAATTAAATGTTGCTTTTTTTGCAATATTCTTGATACAATGGCTTCATAGATTGAAAGAAATCATAGCCTACTGTCAGTAATCATAACACAAGAATAAAACAGAAATAATATTCATTTATCACGCCAATGCAACTCGACCTGCAACTAATAAACTAACTTTGTAAATCATTTGCTAATTTGATTAAATTTTAGAAGAACTAAGCAATTTGGAATATAACAGTGTCAAACAATCGGTTTTTGGTTTCTTTTAACAAGAGAAATATATAGCCTGTTTTTTTCGATAATGAAAGACTTCTACAATCTTAAATTTTATTCGCTACGCTACTCTTGGACATAAACAATATGACATTGTAAACTAATAATAAATCAAATAACGATGGAAATTAACATCTAATTCAATGTTCAGCCAACTTTGTGCCATCTAAATACTACGGCTTTTCTTCTTCAAAAATAAATGTCGAATCAGGTATGTTCGAATCATGTGAAGTTTTTAGAATATATTGAAGCTGCATTGAAATTCTCAGTCTTATATCATGATGCTTTTGAGAAATAGTTATCAAAGAAGAGTCAAAAATGGCTCACTCAATAATCGAAAACTCTCTGTGAGTTCCTTATTCTATATATTTAATATTTGAAAGAGCATGTCACAACTTAAAAAAATGGTCGTTCACTACAGAAGTACTTTTTTATATAATAATTATAAAAAAGTTCAATTCAAAAAATGAACTCTGTCGAGTACTGCGTCATGATATACTCTCTCGAAACTAAAAAAAAAAACCGATTAACTACAAAGAAGTTCCTAGAATAATTTTGGGAGTCCTCTTCTTAAAAAAAACATATTCTACACACCGAAGAGGAAGTAATTCTTCGACAATCTGTGGAAAAAATGAGGTCTCAAATAGAAAAATAAAATTTCTTTTGTGAGAGGATCAACTTCAAAATAGCTTCCATTGCATTTTTTTCATTTCGATTCATATGTTTGAAATGAACTTTTTTTTGACACAAAGGAAAGAGCTTAAACTAATAAATAATCACTGTAGATTATAAAATGAAAATTTTTCTTAGATTTATTTAGTGAACACAATCTTCACTAGAAAAATATCATCATTAATCATATTTTAAAAATTTCTTAGTTTATCTCCAATAAAAAAAAAGCAATCTCGTATGAAAGATTCAAATATCATACACTAATCATTAATCATTTTTTATTCTGATCTCTGGAAAAAATTTATTTTCTCTTTTTTTATCAATAAGATAATTATACTTTTCATCACATTGTACCGAAACGTATAAATCATTTTAGTTCTTCTTTTGTTTTTTTCTTTTCGAATAATAAATGTTTCATAGTGCATAACACATTATCGATCTTTTCTCGTTATTTTTTCTTTTAAAAACAAAGATTGGATGATTTTTTTTTATAAATAATATCCTTCGTTTTAACTTACATAAAATATTTTGCTCAAATTTTTTGTTTTTGTGTATTATCAAAATCAAATTAGTATAGTATGGGTTGTGCAATAATAAATCATAGTTATAATTCTAGCACATCACAATGCCTAATGTTTTTCTTTTAGTGAACATGTCATGTCCTAATAGTAGTTGTTCCGATTGGAATAAAGTTGATTATCATGCATGATTGAATGATTTCATTGCAATTTGTGTAAATTACCATTTGAAACATAAAAAAATTTATCACTTCAACTAAAAAAAAATCTATTTCACATTTCAATGAATTCTAAATTATGTTAATTGAGAAAAATTTATTCACATTTTATCTGGTTTGCATATTATATATCTCAAGGAATTTCAAATTCATAAAAATCAGATTTTTTTTTCTTCTTCTATCTTTTACAACTTAATAATAATAATAAATTTTAACTAAATTTAGCCTCTTTAATGATTTCAGTCGTTTTTAATCTAATAAATCGTCACAATAGAAAAACAAATTTTCATTGGTATACCTAATTAACTTTTGTCTATATTTTTGAATCATTGTTTTTATAATGACATTCAAGTTAATTGAAAATAATCAATCATGCATCATCGATTAATATATTTCACTCGTTGATATGTGATATACATGTTGAGAAGATGAAGTAAAGTATGAATAGTCTAATCACAAATGAACGGTTGCATTATTGATTATACTGAACAACATTACACCGACGCCATAGGCCTGTCAAGTGACTTCCGTCATAATATGATCGCTTACTTCTTGAGACATTGTAGTGTGAAACATATACACATACGTTCAAAATAAAACAAAAGCAAGACTAAGCTAGTTCTTTTCATTGCTGCGTTATGCAGTCAGTGATCACCAACATAATGTATATATATGTATGATCTAAGTAAGTTTTTTTCTTAACATAAATTCTGTTTGAGTAACTATAAAGGCGAATAGATGAAAGAAAAGAAAACACATATTGCACATCAGCTAAGATTCGAATATCAATCGTCGGTCATCTGTCGCCTCTAAACAAATCTTTTTCTGTTCGTCTTTTGTAGTGTCGCGGTGAAAAACCTTGATTGAAAACATTGATAACAGTTGTGGGTCTCTTTTTTTGTCTCCGACAAAATATATTTATAACAGAAAAAAAAAGGATTTGAACATTCCTTTTTTTTTGTCATCACTATTATATCAATCCGAAGGTTTGTACCTTCTTTATTATATATATTATTGTTGAGGAACACATCAAGAGTTTTCCTCATTCAATTTTTTGTTTTTCGTGTTATTGAGCATTTTATTATCTTCAACTTCACTTGAACAATGAAATTAATACCATCATTTCGATTACGTTCATTGGGTCTTGGTCATTGTAAGTACTTGAATACTATCTAATTGATATAGTGTAATTTTTGGTTTTTTTTTTATTTGAACAAACTAATTTATATAAGCATAGGTTGCATCTTAATCTGCATTTCTTTTTTGTTTTATGTAATAAACTAATACTTATATCCTTGAGTAGAACAAAGGTGTACATCTAGGGAGAAAGTATTTTAGACATAATGTCAAGGATTTAACAATCATTTTTCTTTCTTTCTTTTTTCTCTTATGCGATATTCCAGCTGCTGCTGCTACTACTACTAGACAGAACCCGATGACACAACTCATTATATGATCGTTTTCTATTCTATGATGGACAGTTATGTGTGAAGAGAATACAGTAAGAGTTGATTACTTGAAGAGAAGAAAAAAGAAAAGAAAAAAAAAAAAAAGAAAGAAATCACTTGAATCGACGATACCGGTCATCGTCTGATAAATACATTTGCATTATAAGACCAAATTAATTAGACAAGTTGTAGTAATAGTACAGATGCTTGTCGTCATTATTCTTGTTCTTGTTGTTATTGAGCATCCTTTCAATCATATTTGCATGTGTACGATTCCATTGAACGGAACAAATGAGTCAAATGAATGCATTGTAAAATGTTAGTTATTGATGAATGTTCCGACGAGTTTCAATGACAAATGAAGATCGATGCTAGTTAAAGACATTCAATGCTCTTTTACTTTCACCTTTCATAGTGCAACTCAATGCATAAATGTATGTAAAATGGGATCAATGAACGTGTGTGTATGACAAACATGATGTTGATGTTATAATTTTTTCTCATGTTTGATGATGTCTACTTAGTCGTTATACATGCTAAAAGCGCGTGCCGGGTTCCTTTTTCTTTTTTTTTTATATTTTGTTATCGTTAATTCAATGGATGAACTGCAAATTACCCTGCTCTCCTTTCTGGCAATACAGCAAAAAAATGTATGTGAGACAGATGGTCAATTGTACAAAGCTCATCCTTTTGTGTGAATATGCGTATGTTGCATGTGTGTATGATTTTTTTCTCTCCCTCTTTCTCTCTCTCTCTCTCTCTCTGTCGACTCTTCTTCTATAGCTTTACAGACATCATAGCATTGATCAATATGAATAGAGAAAGAAAATGCAAACGAGTGAGTAACACGAAGAAAAAAAGACAAACGACGTTTTTAACTCTAGTGTGAAGTGTAATAAATACTAAGAAGGGAAAAAAACCAAAGAGAAATGGCATGACAACCATTAAATAAAGTTCGTCAAAAGATGGTTTCAATAATTGCACATGTTTATGTTCTCTTTGATTTTTTTTCTCTCTGTTAAAATAACATAAATGTTTCAACAAAAAAATCAGTTACATATTATTATATATGAAAGTAAACTCCTTTCCGACCAACGGCAACGTGCTCATCCACTGAATATTTCTGAGTAAGATAAAAATGTAACATAGTATAAATGAAGAGTAAACGAAAGATTCCTACTGATTGAACACGTTTTGTATGTGTGTAATCTTCTGTTGATAAATGGATCGGTCAATGAAAGGACACCCGCCTCCCATCTCCTTTTTCTTCATCTTAGTCTTCTTTACTTGAAGTAAATATACATAAAAATGTTCATTCATATAAACAGAGTGTAAGATTAAAGAGAGAAGAGCAAATGATAAAAATCATCATCTATATAACTATTATTACTTCAAGAGAATGTATAAATGTCTATGCATGTTCGATTATGCAAAAAAAAAAAAAGAAGGTTCACGGGCAAATTCAAATGATTTAACTCGAAACGACATTTCGGTCTGCGCTTCATAAAAAATAACATTGATTGTAGTCGTTCGATAACTTATGTGTTATATGTGTGTCTCGTCGTGTTCAAAAAGACCGAGAAATTATTATTATTATAATTATTATCGCATGTTTCTTTTCGTGATCTATTTTTTTGCTTTGTGACGAGACAGACACACATAAATATAAAAAATGAAAGTTAAATATCATACACCTTGCTTTTGCCCTTTTCTTCATTTAATTTATATTAAGTGAAGAACAAATGAAAGAAGAATATCATTTAGTAAGTTATTATATTGTTTTTGTTCTTTTGATACTTGCTCCAGATTGATTATCATCTTTTCTTTTTTACATATCTCATACATATATATTTGTATCAATGGTTGATTGTCTCTCATGTCAGAGTTGTTGTGGGAGTTTACGTTCTACTAAACTTTATCCAAAAGAAAAACGACCTCTATCAAGGAAACGTGCTGCTCAAAAACTTTATCTACAAAAACAAATTCAGAACAGTAATATTAATAAAAGTAAGTAAATACGCTTTTTTTTTTCTTTTTATTGCTTTACATATGACATTAATTAATTCTATCGGACTATGATATGATGTAATAACAAAATGTAACTTGAGAATTTCACATATGTTTACGCATTGTTTCGAGAAGAAACAAAATTCGTTGTAAAGCTTTTTATTTTTACATTTATCCATTGTATATATGAATTTAATTATGGAATAATAATTTATTATTAAAAAAATATTAAGATTTTCTAATTGATTAGAACAAATATAAGACTTGAACTTTTATATCACGTTTTTTTTTGTGATTTCATAATTGATAATTTCATTTTGGTTTTTTGCTCGTTGTGTTGTTTTTAATAAGTGGATTATATTTAAAGCATATGCTTTTAAATGATTAGATCATCATTATTTGCATCAGCCGGAAGCTGATTATGCACTTATTTCTGTCGAGACATGTATTTGTATAGTCATTATTTCGACAACAACAATAATAACAACAACACTAGCCTTCATTCATAGACGAACGATAGAGTTGATCCGCTTTAATCAATTCAGTTGATCATCTTCTGTTGTTCGTTCGCCTTGCCTATCCGATCGTCGTAATTAGTCTCTTTTTCTTTTTCTTTTGTTATTCGGTAAAGATCACTATTGTACATAGAGAAGAAAAATGAGAAGATTAGTATCATGTCATTGTCTTAAACTTTAACTTAACTACTACAAGAGAAGGTAACAACAATTGAATATAGTCAATTTTCAAGAGATGATCAAAATGCAAGACATTAAACAAGGTTCATATAGTTATCATCGATTACATGAAAAGATTGCACTTGTTTCACTACTTATGAAAGAGATGAGAGAAGAGAAGCACCAGCAGCAGCAGCAGCATTCGCAAGGTTTTTTTCTTTCATCTACCAAGAAACGTTTGGGTATTTCTTTTTTAATTTTATTTTTTTCTTTGTTCTTTTTTTTTTTATAAATTATTCATCTTCTATTTATTTAGGTACGTTTTCATGTGACAGTTTAAGTTGTGTAAGTAGTAATGTACAGTCTAAAACGAAACATCGGGATGTTAATAATAATAAAAATAATAATAATAACAATAATATGTCAACATCAATGGCAGATGAACAGAATCATGTACTGGAATTTTATATATTTAATGTTAGTCATGAACGTAATCTTAATTTAACAATTGATTCAAATGATAAACGTTTATTTATTTTTTACCATATTTCTAATGGTTTATATACAATTGGAATTAGAAATGGTATGTTAAATTTATGTGCTAATTTCTTTTTCTTGTTAGTACTAAGATAGCATATCAGAAAATGTTACTTAATTGTATTTTTGGTCTATTCATTTAAATATGTTTTTGTCATTGAAGCAGATAGAATGATGTGATTCAGTAAATGTGTATTACCCACTAGGGCATTCGAGAAATGACTGCTCGTTGTTTCTTTCTTTCTTTTCTCGTTCTTTTTCTTTTCTTCTCATCATTCATTCTTTCTTTTCTTTTGACATTTTGCCCATAAAAGACGTCGTACGCCGCGTCTATACTGAAAAAAAAACGCTTAACCGGCAACTAAGTCACAGAACATAGCTACAGTAATAGCGTTATTTCTCTTTATATAATATATATGCGTTTGTGCGCGTGTCATTGCTGATCCTTAGACGAAAACGCGAGCATAAAATTTGCGTGTTCTATGCTATTTTCTGTGAGCAATAATCACGATTATTTAATGAAGATATACGCAAAGTTTTTCATACAATTCTTATGATAAATTACTATCATATTTATTTTTACAATGTCTGAAACATCAACAATGTTTTAATTCAATGTACAATCAAAGAAACCTTGACGATAACAATAAAAAAAAGCAAACAGTAACTTTAACAACTCGACGTGTTTTTATGCGTTTTTATCATTCACGTTATCATCAAAAATATGGTGTGTTTTTAATTTTACTTGGCTTTTTTATTTTTGCCTATCTTATTTTTAAACAAATGTTACACGAACCATACGAACCAACATTGATACTTGATAATGAGCGACATTTATTTATTCGTTTGTTTAAAACAAATGATGCACATAGAAAAAAAATTCATCCATTTCGAATTTTAAGTGGCTCATTACATTATTTTCGTGTTTTACCACAATTATGGTCTGATCGTATTGAAAAAATGAAACAAGCAGGTTTAAATACAATTGAAACATATATTCCATGGAATTTACATGAACCAGAAATGGGAAATTATAAATTCAATGAAGGCCTAACTGATTTAGTTAGTTTTTTAAAATTAGTTCATCAGCATGAAATGTTCACAATAATTCGTCCATCAGGTAATATTAAAATTTCTGTTTTTTTTTGTATCAAATCTTTATATAAATATTGATTTAGGTTATATTTGCGCTGAATGGGAATGGGGTGGTTTACCAAGTTGGTTATTACAAGATGATCAAATGCGTATTCGTACAACGCATTCAAATTTTATAAAAGCATTGAAAAATTATTATTCAGTTTTATTACCTATTTTATCTGAACATCAATATAATCGACATGGACAAGGTTCTATAATTGCATTTCAAATTGAAAATGAATATGGAAGTTATGGTAATGATAAAAATTACCTTGAAGCAATACGTTCAATGTATATTGAATGTGGTCTCAATGAATTATTTTTTACATCAGATGGTAGACATGATTTTTCGAAAGGTTCCTTAGACAATGTATGGGAAACAGTTAATTTTCAAAGAAATGTTAAAGAAAATATTGAAAAATTAATTGAATTTCGTCCAACTCAACATCTTATGATAACTGAATATTGGACTGGTTGGTTTGATTATTGGGGTGGAAAACATCAGACAGGTCAAAATGGCGAATATACTGCAAAAGAATTTGAAAAAGATCTTGAAGAAATTTTACTTAATTCTAAATATGAAATATCAATTAATTTTTATATGTTTTTTGGTGGTACAAATTTTGGATTTACTAGCGGTGGACATCATTTTCCATCAAAAAATTATGCACCACTTGTTACATCATATGATTATGATGCACCATTAAATGAATCAGGTGATCCAACAGAAAAATATTTTGTTATACAAAATATTTTAAAAAAATTCTATGAACAAAATCCACAATTAATTATTTATAATCATGAACGTATAACTGACGATACATTTGAAATAATTCAACCTAAAATATCAAAAAAGGTTTCTTATGGAAAAATAAATATATTCGGTTATAAAACATTTGAACAGATACTCAATGATGATATTTTAACAAATCAATATCATGTCTACGATGGTCCTTTAAATATGGAACAAATTAAAGCTGATAATAAAACAATTGGTGCATCACAAGGTTTTATTGTTTATACAAATAACAATATTCAAAATTTATTAAAACAAAATGAAGAACATTATATAGTAATAACAGCTATTGCAGATAATGCTATTATACTTGCTAATGGAAAAGTGATCCATAAATCTTTACATACAGAAAATTCATTTCGATTTAATGTACCACCAGATACATCTAAATTAACAATTATTGTAGAAAATATGGGACGTATTAATTATGGTCCTACACTTGATCATAGTCGAAAAGGCATTTTAGATAAAGTATTATTTAACAATAAAATTGAATTAAAAGAATGGACAGTACATGTATTAGGATTTCGTCAAGGTATGTCAAGTATTACAGATTGGAATAAATTAACAATTAATGATACAGATGATAAAAAAATTAATGATCTTAATAATGGTCCACAATTATTTTATGCTCCATTTGAAATTGAGAATGAAAAATCAATACAAGATACATATTTAGCATTCAATGGTCAATGGTCTAAAGGTGTTGCATTTGTAAATGGTTTTAATATAGGAAGATATTGGAGTATTGGACCACAACTTACATTATATATTCCAAAAGAATTATTATTTAAAGGTTTTAATCAAATACAATTATTTGAATTATATACATATGGAAAATCTATTGAACTTGTCGATACACCTGTGATCAATGCGTGATAGTTGTTTTTTTTTATTAGAACAGTTCGATTCGTTGTTTGCTTTACCATTATTATATTTACTATTTTGAACTCGATTGAAACGATATCCATATAGTTGAAAACTTTTTTCTATTTTAATTTTTGCGCAAACTCTATGCTTCTCGTTGTTAAGGTCAGAAAGATAGATATATTTCATAGAAACTAGAGGATAAATTAACATCAAATCAATGAATTATTTTATGAATTCATTTACATGAACAATTCGATAGAATCTATATTTAGTAACAAAAAAGTGTTCGTGAGACACAATACTCATGAGCTGTCTTATATAGTTCTCATATCATAGTCATGATTTTTTTTCTTCTCAGTTTATGTTTTGATATATTTAACGCTTGATATATTTGAACGAGAGAACACAATTACATAATATGTTTTATTTTTATTTAGTTTAGTTAGAAATAATACAAGACAAAGAAAAAAGACTAACAGAAATTGAACATGTCATTTAGGTACGAATGTTTAATATTTTTGAGTATTAAATGATGATTACGAATGAGTAATTCTTACATCAATAACTTTCATACGATAGATTGATTAGAAATTAATTTTGTTACTATTTCAAATTATTGAATATAAGTAATGAATTTAATGTTCACTGCAAGGTGAAAATCTCTCTGCATATGAACGCCTCTTTATACTGGATACTCTATAAGTCATCCAAACGAATTTTTGCCAGGAATATGCCTCTCTAATATGAGTATTTCCTTATTGTGAGCAATGGGCGCTCTTTCTGGTGCCATAAGCAATAAAAACTTCTCTAATATAAGCAACATATGTTCTATCACTTACACATTGGACGAGAAAAAAAAATGATGTTATTTGTATTGCGTTATAATAAACAATTATGAGACGCATATAAAAATTAGATCTATTAACCGTACATATTTAAAAGAAAAAAAAAACAATACTAAGCAAACAGTAGCAGTGCTTCGTGCAACATCTCACCAGTTTTTATATTAACAGCTAGTAACATTAAATCATGTCAACCTGTGTTGATATACAAACAATTAAACAAGTTGAACTAATAAATTGATGGAAAGAAGAAAAGGATCACTTCATGTAGTCTAAAACCAAATACAATTGAACGCTTTTAGGTTACAAAAAAAGAAACTGAAAATCTTCCCAATGTTAAATATCTTTGTTAAGTCAGTTCTTTCGACAAGTTCTGACAGTGCGCAAAGTAGTGAGATTTTATGTATATGGTAATAACAATTGTTATTTTGTCTTTATTAAACAACGCTAACACACAAGATCCTTCATATATAAAAATCTCATTGTCTTTTTTTGTCCATATCTCATTGAAATTTGCATATCTGTATACAATAATGATCCTAAGTATGTCAATTAAACTTTTTGTCATATAACATTGACACTGTTCGTCCAAATAATGATCATATGAAAAAAGAGCATGTATTTAATCGACGACATTCTTTTTTTTTTTTGTTTGCTCATACATATAAAAAATTCAAGGATACACTAACACTTCATTGACAAGTTAATTTATTCAGATATTTACATACATATAAAGTTTATTGAACTTCTTTGAAAAAAAATATTACACGAAAAGAAATAAACTTTAAAACACAAATATTGAATCTAGTGTTTTAGCCAGATTCAATCTTTCACAAGGGCAAACAACTGCTTTAGGGGCATAGACATATTGTACATGCTACAATGATTACAAAGTCCAAAAAGGCATTGCCCTCTCGATTCCCTCATTGAATAAAATACTGATTCGATCATCGATTTAGCAAATTAATTTGCATTGTTCCAACTTAAACTATCAATATTTAAGTTGAACAAGAAAAAACTAAGCAATAATACAAAAAAATTAAATATATTTTGAATGTTCTTTTGATCCTATCGAATATATTTATTAAATAATTCTCCAATACAATGGATTTCGTTCATTTAGTCTTGTATTTCATTCTGAAAAAAAATAAATTGTTCTTGTTAATATTTATGAAAAATAGTCGTAATGACAAACTTTGGTCGAAATAAGTTTATTCAATAAATTATTTCTATTTAAACTGATTAAAAAGTCTAAATCTTGTTGAAATAATTTTTTTTTTGATTTTTGGTATTTTTAGGAGATATCCTAGTTTTTCTTAATGATAAGAATATTCTTAAATCTCCAATAACATTAACAAATGATCATATTAAATCAGAATTTCTAACATTACGTCGACATAAAAAATCAATATCAATTGGTATATGTCGTTGTACAGAACGATCTCTGTTAAATAATACAACTATAGAACACTTAAGTTCATTAACATTGGATGAATTTCAAAAATTATCTCTTGAACATTCATCAACACCATCACCTAATGAAAGTCGAAAATCATTAACTATTACGGATGAAATTATAACAAATCCAGATTTGAAAACAATTTCAAATAAAAATAAATTATTACACGAACAACACCCTAAGCCATTGATTTATAAACGTAGTACAAGCCCAAATAGAGATAGCGGTTTTATTGAAACAGATGGTAAATATTACAATTAAGAAAAGGAATGGATATCCCCCCTGCAATATGTTCTAAAAGTTAATCAATTCGTAGAGAATATCTCTAAATGTATGAATAAGTTCTAACAGAAGTTATGAGTTTTAAAAAATTTGCTTATTTAATATTAGTAGAAAAACTATTCCTAATCAAGTTCTCTATTCTTAGAATGCTTTCTCAGAAAATTTTGTTTATGATAACTTGTTCAGTGAGTCTACTTCTGTGAAATGACATATTTTTATTTTAGAAGATATGTCGTTTTCATGAAGTTAGAAGTTTCAAGATGTGTCTGAGGAGAAAGTCAAGCATATTATAAAAAAAAAGAGGTATTGTGAAATATTAAATGATACGCTTTAGTATCATTAACTTTCAATGAAACTCTGTATGTGCAAGTGCTCATCCATTAGGTATATTATCTCCTAGTTGTAAGACTATTGGACGTTTTGTTGAAGAAATATCACAAAAAACTAATTGCTATCGTAATTGTGATATAAATTATATCATGCAAAAGCCACCGAAAAGATCTAAATTTTACAATTCCAATTTCTTTTTCTTTACAGACTTATAACAGATCCTTTTAATTTGAACGTGATGCACAACTCACCTTTCTCACTTCTATATAGTGTTGATAATAAAATGATCTGTCGTAACTCTATAACGAAAAACAATTTTTAATTCCAAAACTAAGATATCTTGAGTAATTTTTGCATGTTATAATATATAACAAAATTGCGACACTGTTCTACATTCAAAGTTTCATTGAAAACTAATGATGCGAATGGATATCATTTAACATTTTACAAAACTTCTATTTTTCACGGTATACTGAACTTCATCCTCAGACACATCTTGGAGGCTCCAACTTGAAGTGAACGACATTTTTTTCTAGAAGAAAAATATGTCATCTCATTGAGGTAAACTAATTGAACAAGTTTTAATGAATAAAATTTTTCTGCAAGGCATGGTAAGAGTAGAGAACATGGTGAAGGTTACTTTGTCTGCTGACATCAAATAAGCAAATTTTGCATAGCTTTTTACTCTTGTTAGAAGTTATTTAACTCAAAAGATATTGTAATATTCAAACACTTGGAAGTACTCTCTACAAATTGATCTTATTGGCGGGCATGTTGTAGCGAGTGCCATTGCCTTAAAATTAATAAAGTTATGTTTTATTATTTATATAAATGTTTAGGCACAAATACATCTATGTTAACAGATCGTAGTGTTACGTCAAATGGTAATAATAATAAACGTCGAAGTAAAATATCATTAGAAAGAAGTGAAGATGAATCAATGGATACACATAAATCACTTGATTCACTTCAACAATCTATGCCAAAAATGATAACAATAGACCAAAGTAAAAAGAAACCATCAGGTTTGATGTGAGTAAAAAGAAGAAGAAAAGAATTCAAAAATTTTCAAAATAAATTCTTTTTTTTTGTTCATCGACAATTTAGTTATTCAATACAAAAACCTGATAAAACTGTTCGAAATCAAGATGATTTACCAATTCAAACTGTAACTGATGCATGTTTTATTTATCGTCGTCAAGTTGTTAAACAAGATACGAGTGATGATGAAAAAGCAGCTATGATTCTTCGTGGTCGTGAAATAGCTTACGAAGCTGCAAATGCACCAACAATTCCATCATCAATGCCAAATTATACACGCGATCAAATTCGAGAACTTTATGGTGAATTAGATAAAAAAACACGTCGTTTACAAGATGATGAATATATATATCAATCATCAATAACAAATTCACCGAATGGCAAACATCAATGGAAATTAGCCTCACCAACAACTGCAAAAAAAATTAATGAATGTCCATTACCAAAATTTCGTCTTGATAAAACTCCTGAACATGATGAAACATTGCTTATGGCTGCATATTTATCAACAGGTATAACGAATCCACGAATAAAACCAATTGTACCTATTGATAATTTTCATACAGTAATGATGAATGCAAGTGCAAAAGTTAATGAATGGGCAAATACTAATGAAATATATTTAACACCAATTAATAAAAATATTCTTCCTAATAATTTTCATACTTTAAATGATGATCCTTTAACAATGAGTACATCACCATTATTACTTGATGTTCAGTTTAATATAACACAACTTGCTGGTACACCAACCGATAATAATAATCGACCAACGTTTTTAGAAGTTGTTGAACAACAAACAATAGATCATTCAAATCAAAGTGTTCATAATCAAGAAAATCGTCGTTCTATTCAACGACAACCAAATACAACAGATACAATATCATCATCACCTGATTCAAATGATATTGCTTTAGAAACAACACCATCAACACCTGGTTCATGTGGAATGTATCTTGAACCTTATATGCGTCGTGGTTATGATTTACCATCAGCTGATCATGATATACGAGATTCTTCATGGCAACATACTGATTATGAGGATATTGATGAATCAATATTATCGATAAAAGATGTAAGTTTGATTTTTCTCGAGGGCAAAAGAATATATCAGATAAGCACAACTATCATATATATATATATATATATTTCTTTCGGAGTGGCAAACATATATTTTTGGAAGTACAGATAGACACGTCGGGTCCCATATTTTCGAGTGCGAATCAAGGCTGCTAGCTCTGAAGTACAACGCATGGGAAGTAACGCCATCTCAAAGTATCGTGTCCGGGAGCTAACAGACCTGATTCGGATCCAGTCGAAAAATACTTTGATACGTTTGATGAAATTTTCTAATCGGAATCATATAGTCGCCTCGAAGATAGGATATTTTTTTTTCTATTCAATGACTAGCGCATTCTACACATTTCTCCGACGACTAGAGCTCATAGAACCCAAGAACTTTGAAGGTAGATCCGACGATCTTCAAAGAACAAACTTCTGGAGAGTCAATTCAATATTCGATAGAAGTGCCGTTCGTTTAACCCCATACTATAGATAAAACACGGATACAATTAATTAAAAAGTCATTACATAAACTGGCATTAATTAATTTCAGAATAATTGATTAATATGGAATGTAATTTATATCATATTATTTATAGTTCTAATTAAATTTTCTTTTATTAGATAACTCCAATTGAAAGTCCAACAACGCCAAAACTTGATACTAATGTTGTTTCATCACCACCTATGACATCTCAAATAAATGATATGGATAGCTTAATTGATTTGGATGATGGTACAACTGTTTCTTATCATACAGCTAAAGACTCTCGTCTAGATAATACTCATCAATCAACATTATCAGTAGGAAGTGATGAAACAACAAGTACTCTTCATCAACCTAGTATACGAGATGACCTTATGAATAATGCCGTCTCACCTGAAGAAAGTTTTTATTATGATGCACTTACATCACTTTCACAAACAAATCCACAAACATCATTATCAACAGATAAACAAGATGTTCTTATAGATAATTTAACAAATTTATTAGAACAAATTGAAGCATTTAATTCTACAAATCAACACGTATTACCAACAGTTGAAGAAGAAAAATCACGTTTATCACCTGAAGGTGAAGAATCAACAACTGATATTGATTGTTTAGTTACAATTGTTGATGATATACATCAATATAATCAAATAAAAACAATCAATGCAATGGATAATCTTTTATTTGTATATGATGATGACATTGATGATGAACAAGACAATTTATCAATTGATAATCTTGTTGACATTGTTCATTCAATTCATCAAACACCAGCATGTGTTAATAATTTACTTTTTGTTTACGACGATGTCATAACACCATCTGATGATGAACCAAAACAAATAATAAATGATTCAGATGAAGGATGTTATGATAATTTTATAAATGATTCAAGCGAACAATATCGTATTGATCATTTAGGTACCATTATACATGATGCTTTAACAGTTAGATTTCAAAAACCCATCAGACCTAACCAAACTAACGAAGTCGAAGAATTAACAACGAATATTGATAATCTAACTACTGTTGTACATGAAGTTTTAACAACAAGACTTACAACACCAATTGATAAAATTAATCATGAAACTGAAGAATCAATTGTTGATACCGATAACTTAGGTACCATTATACATGATGCTTTAACAGTTAGATTTCAAAAACCTATCAAATCTAAACAAAATAACGAAATCGAAGAATTAACAACGAATATTGATAATCTAACTACAGTTGTACATGAAGTTTTAACAACAAGACTTGCAACACCCATTGATGAAATTAATTATGAAACTGAAGAATCAATTGTTGATACTGATAATCTCGGTACAATTATTCATGATGCTTTATCAACTAGATTTCAAAAACCAATACAAATAAAATCATCTGTTGAATTCGATTCTACATTACAAACAGAAAAAATTCCAGAATTTATCGATGAATCAACAATTGAAAATCTAGAAGAATCAACTAATGAATTCGATCAAGAATCAATACCTTCTAATATTGAAACATCTCCTAATGAATCAATAGATAATATTCATACATCAGAAACAATCATTTATGAAATTGAACCATCATCAAATGAACAATTTACTATATTAGAATCTCGATCACCACCTGTTGGTCATCTATCTCAAATATTAAGTGATTCACTTTTAACATGTTCAAATTATCATCAAGATAAAAATAAATTTGAATTTAATTTAAAAAATCAAACGTTATATGATGAAGAAATTTATGAAGAGTATGGATATCGTCGTACAACAACAGACTCAAATACAAATGATATTGTTGAAAAATATGAAGAATTATGTCGACGTTATTTATCTAGTTGTGATGAATATCAAACAACAGCGAAAAAATTAGATAATGAAATAAATCGATTTGAAAAACAATTACATGAACAAAAACAAGAAATTTTAACACCAACAAGTGAGACAACAAGTGAAGAATTAATAACAACAATTGAACGTGTTATTGATATGCGTGATCAAACAACAGTCAAAAGAAATAATACGGATGATTATTGTTCGACAATAACTGTTCAAAGACAACCAAATTATATGGGAAAATATGGTTTTGATTTTGAAGAAGTATATGATGAAAAAATTAAAATTTCAAAAATTATTGATGAAATGTATTGTCCCAATGTAAATATTGGTGATGAAATTATTAGTATCAATAATGATCGAACGTTTAAAACACATGAACAATGTCAGGCATTATTTGATTCATTATGGAAAAATTACTATGAAAATATACAAATAACTGTTATCAAATCAGCAAACATTTCGATAACAAAAAGTAAATAGATATTAAATTTTTTCTTTTAAAAACTCTTTCCTTTGCTTGCATTACACTACATTACTGCTATATTCATATTGTTAATTCGTAACTCTGGAAAAGCAATCAACAATTCATATTAGCTAGTGATGTTTCTAGATGTATACGGAACTGATTTTGATTTTGGTGATAGAGCTGATGTCGAACTTTTCCATTATAGCATTTAAACCTTTGAATACAATTAAAAAAAACAGCTATTTGACTCAATGGTTCTAATCAGAGATTGATTGATATTATGTTTGACGACATACATTGGGTCAAGTTTAAGATAAAGAGATTATCACGCATATCATTGGATTTTTTTATTGATCTTATTGATGAAATATTTAAGAAGAATATACGATTTTATAACTGACATAAACTGTAGTGGTCTCTCTTATTTTAGTTCATTTTTTTTATTAGGGAACAAAGTGGAAAAATAAGTCGATTTAATCAAAACGATAGCGAGTGCTTCAGAGCTATATGAATAGATTTTTTTTGTGCCTAATAAAGCAAATCGCCTAAAGGATAAATTACTTTTAAGTCGAAGTTGCGCACATTATGTAGAATCAAATGAGCTATGAATACCTTTAAAAATAGTTCTAGCCCTTAACTTATTACTACTGAAATACTGCACTTTCACTGTAGTTTTTAAAAGAATCTAGTGATTTCCTTCAGAAATATCAGAAAAATTTATATTCAAATTTCGGCTTGAAATTTTTGCATAAAAATAAGCCTTGACGAAAATAATTTGTTGTAACAGTTGGAGATAATTTCGTTGTTCCTATTACAAGATGCAACCACGATAAAAGTATGTCTTTTCCATCGCTCATGTACACCCATAGATTCGATGTTCTTATTTTACAATAACAACAGATAAGATGATCTCATATTTTCACCCTCAACTATACTCGTCAAGGCTTATTTCTACACGAAGTTTCAAGTCAAAATTCGAAAATTAGTTTTCCTAATGTTCCTGAAGGAGACTACGACATTCAATAAAACACTTCTGTAGGTTTGCGGCATGTACGCAGCAATAATTTAAGAATCTGAACTCTGTTCAGAATATTTAAAAGCCATTTGAATTTACATGTTGCACATAGTCGCAATTCAAAAGCGATTAACTATGTTCGAATACTTCTTTTGTGAGATTATTCTGAATATGACACTAGCAGATTATGTTACTGGGCTTGATACAAACCCATTCAACAAAACTAAGTCCTATGGATCAAAGTTGTCATCCTATTTTATTTCGACGATAAAGAATGAAATGATGTATTTATAAGAAACGAACGATAAATGTCGATGTTGATAATATTTTTTCTTTATAGCTTATGAACCGGTGTCATTACAGTCAAGCTCTCTATCTTGGCCATTATCAACAGCTGAATCAGGTAGGACAATAAAATGCTTTTTTTTTCCTATTCAAATTTTTATTGATTTTTGGGCCTTGGATGTTGCATGGTAATAGTTTGTGGGCAGTGGTAAAAGCTTTGGTGTTTGCACTATTGCTTTTAATAGAACTATAGAATATCACTTTTTTTCAAAAAAAAAATGCATATGCACGTAAAAGAAACCACATGAACACGTAATGTGTATGTGATTAATTTTGGATTTGTACATTCTGATTAGAAATTAAATAGATGACTCTGTTACATATACACACACATACATTTTCGCTACATTCTTCTCTTATATAAAGAGTACAACAGTACTCATTTTTCTCTATCGCTGTCATACACATTCGTTAGATATTCAAATCAAGAAATTCACTTTGATTTTTTTGTGTGTAAACTGAAATGCCTACTATCTATGATGTACAACGTGAAGAAATATATACAACTGACCCACGTTTAAATGCAACATATGATTCATATGGTTCTATTGGTGCTGCTGTTGGTTATATGTCAGCTATAGCACCACGTCAAGTTATTATAACTCGACCAGTAAAAAACTTTGGTAGTGTAAATCGAAGTGTAACATCAAAAATGACTGTATCACAATCCATATCAAGTAATGCTGTACCATTACGTGGTGCTATTGGTAGTGGTAAATGGGCATTAGTTCCATTTACTAGTCAACGTGTTGAAGAAAAACGACAATTAGCTGAATTAAATGATCGATTTGCTGAATATATTGGTAAAATTCGTTATTTAGAAGCTGTTAATCGTAAACTTAGTCGTGATTTGGATAATATACGTAATAAAAAAGGTATTGGTTTACAACGTATTCGTGAAATAATAACACGTGAAAAAAATGAAGCTGAAGATACATTAAAACGTATGGATGATGATGTACGTTCAGGACAAAATAAACGACAAGAAGCTGAACAACGTCTTAAACAAGCTGAACAACGTTTATCAAATGTACAACGACCTGAACAAATCAATGGTGTTAAATGTCAATTAAAACAATTACGAGAAAAAATTATTGATCTTGAAAAAAAAATTGAATTAATACGAAAAACAATTGCTGATAATGATGATGAAATTGTTCTTTATAATGCTGAATTACAACGTATTCGAGCTGATGTCGCAAATCTTATATCAGAAATAGCCAATGAAGCAACACAAAAGCAATTATTAATAGCTGAAAAAACTGTTCTTGAACAAGAACTAAAAGCACTTGAAACAGCACATAAATTTGATATCGAACAACTTCGTTCCAAAGTTGCTATAGCTAATGTTGATCCAGCACCATTTTTTGAAAGTGAATTAACATCAGCTATACGTGAAATACGTAAACAATTTGAAACAATAACTGATCAACAGCAACAACAATTACAAAATTATTATCAAGCTAAAGTAAATGCATTAATTGAATATCATCAACCAAGACAACCAATTGAATCCCAATGGCAAACAGAAAAAATTCGTGAAATAACACGAAGTATATCTGATGTACGTGGTCGAGTTAATAATTTACAAATGGAAAATCAAGATCTTGATAGACAAATAATTGATATACGTCAACAAATTCAATCCACAACATATCAAGAAGATCAACGTTTAATCGACGAACAAAAACATTTTCGAGATGAAATTGATCGTCTTAAAGGTTATATCAGTGATTTAGAAAAATATCGTACAACACTTGAAGAAGAAATACGTCGTTATCGTTTATTACTTGAAGGTGGTACAAATCAAATTGGTTTACGACATTTTGCTGAAGAAGCAGAAAAAATAATGAATCGTGGCCGATCATTACTTGATTCACTTAATTTACGTTTAATAAGAAATATTTCAGGTCCAATTAGTACACACAATATACGTGAAGTTACATATTCTACTTCTTATTCATCCTCAACTGCTGGTATCAATACTCGATCTCCATCACTTTCACGTGCAGATTCACCTCATCATTAATAACAACAACAACAAAAAATATTTCTTGATCATAAACAAGGCAATATATGTAGAAATGAAATTTGTTTTAGTTTAAATAACCTTCATCCAATATTCTTATATGTAGTTATAACTTGAATAAAGAAAAAGCAAAGTACAAAACTTCTATCGATCACATTATCCTTTGATAAATAATAATAATAATAATACGTTTGTCGTTCGAAATATGTATTCGAGGTATATTTCGAGTATGTGTGTGTATATGTAAATGCAAAATGAAAACTAAGCTTGTTGAGTAAATAAGAGCGAGAGACTGAAATACTATGCATGCAATTGACTATACAAATGTCTTTTGTCTTCTTTTGAATGCGAGCATTGTATATCTTTAGCTTTAGGTTATACGATGCATAGGCGGGTTTATTTATTCAGAAAAAAAAACACATCGGTCGACTGTACATAGAAAGAAAACCAATAACTCGTCTCTTTTTTTTTTCTTTCGCTTCTTTATCTTGCCCGATACGTCCCGCTTCGTTGCTATCTTAAGTATGCTTGAAACTGTTTGCGGTATGTATGCGGACCACTATCGAATCATTAAAGGGTAACAGGCAGTAAACGGAGCGAGGGACAGAGAAAAGAATTGATCTCTTTTTTTCTCTTCGATACAAACTCACAAGAAGGGCGAAAAAATAATTGCCCACATATGCCCGCCATAAGCAACTGTCGTCAGAGAATAAGTTATAGAGAGAGAGAAAGACAGAGAAAGCGATCGAACAAGATAGATCTTATTTTATTTGCATGATGGTGGTTAGTTCGCCTCCTCTTTCTCGTCGAATCATATAGCTTAGAGAACGCAAAAGAAAAAGAGAAAAAAGTTTGGCTCGATAAAAGGGCCATGTCTGCCCTGACTTGTATTCATTTTTCTTCTTTTTCTCGTTTGTGTCTGTGTGTGCGTGCGTGCGAATATTTCATTCGGTGAATATTTCATTACAAATATCCTATTGAGCTTCAGATTTCACCATCAATACACTAAATAACAACAACAACATCAGTAAAATGCAAGGATACGATGATGAATTTACGAAGGCCAGTTCGTCTTCATATAGTTCATATAAATCTCAAATAACACCACGATCAACAAATGTTCAACGTCGTTCAGGTGGTCCATCAGGCATAATGACACGTATGTATCAATCATATTCAACATCAGGTGGTAGTGGTGGATTTAATGCTGGTGGTCTTGGTGCTGGTATATCAGGTTTAGCATCCATTGCTGGACTTGGAAACTTTTCTGGTATTCCATTACGACCAAATCGTGGTTCATCAGCATTAGTTGCTGTTAATGAAACACGTGAAAGAGAAAAACGTGAATTATGTCAATTAAATGACAAATTTGCACAATATGTTGAAAAAGTACGATTTCTTGAAGCACAAAATCGTAAATTACAATTGGAATTAGAAGCTTTACAAAATAAAGCTGGACAAGGTTCATCAAAAATAAAAGAAATGTATGAAGTCGAAATGAATGAAGCTAAAAAGCTTATTGATGATACAACACGTGATCGTGCTGCAGCTGAAGTTAAAGCTCGTGATGCTGAAAAAGAAGCTGGTAACATATTTTTTTTCTTATCAATTAGAAAAAGTTTGAAAACTAATTGTGTTTTTTTGTTTAATTATTTAAGGTCGTTATCGTAAACGTTATGAAGAAATTTTAAATAGTCGTGAAACTGATAGATCAGCTATTGATCGTCTTCAACAACAAATAGCTGAAAATGAAGCACAAATCAATTTATTCCGTCGTCGTTTAGGTGATCTTGAAGATGAAGCACGACGTTATAAAGCTGAAACACAACGTTTAGCATCTGAAATTGCACGTTTACAAAATGAAATACAAAATGAAACATTTGTTAAAAGTTCACTTGATACAGAAAAAATGGCACTTGAAGATGAACTTGCCATGCTCAAACAAATGCGTAAGTTAAATTTAATAAAAACAAAATCAAAATATGTTTCATAAATTTATTTTTATTCATATAGATGAAGCTGATTTGAATGAATTACGTTCAAAAACTGTTGTTGATGTTAATTTGGACCCATCTCACTTCTTCCGTAATGAATTAGCTCAAGCCATTCGTGATATTCGTAATGAATTTGAAGCATTAAATGAGCAACAACGTGCTGATTTACATAATCGTTACATGATGTCATACAATGAACTTATTTTACGTCATCAAAAACCAGATCTTGATCCAATTCAAAGTGAACAACAACGTGTACAAGAAGAAAAACTACGCACAACATTATTAACAACACGCAATGAAGTTGCACATATGAAAGCAAGAAATGAAGAATTAAATAATCGTATACGAGAACTTCAATTACATATTGATCAAGAACGTGATGAAGGTATGAAGAAGAACAAGAAGAATACAAAGCAAATAATAAAACACGAATATTATTATTTTCATTTTTTTTAGGTGGTCGTTTGATACAAAAACGTGCTGCTGAAATCGAAGAATTACGTCGTAAATTAGAACAATTACAAAAAGAATATGAAGAAGTTACAAATATGAAGACATCATTAGAAAAAGAAATTAATACATACAGAGAATTACTTGAAGGAACAAACAATCGTGAAGGTCTTAAACAAATTGTTGATCATGTTGTTGAAGAAGCTCGCCGTATGGAAGCTGAACGAGCTGCTGGTAGTTCAGGTGTTGCTGGTTCAATTTCATATTCAGGAGGTGGTGGTCGTTCGACAACAATTTCACGTACATTTATTAGTAGCAGTGGATCTGGATCAGCTGGCGCTGGTATCAGTGGCTTAGTCACTGGCGGTGGCCGTGTCAGCGGTAGTTATGGCAGTACACAAGGAGGTGGTGGAGCCGCATATTCGCATACATCAAGTCGTCGCGAATATACATCATCAAGTTAAACATATTGGGAAGAAGAAATCTTGAATCAAAAGATCAATAATAATAGAAAAAAAACTTTCCTTATACTTATCATTTTCTTAACCTCTAAGTGTATGTCTCTTTCTCTCTGTCTTTGTGTTTATTAAGGCCATTTAGATCAGTTTCTTTTTTTGTTGTGTAAGAAAAACATTTTTGTTTTTGGTGTTCAGGTC